ACCCCCCTGGTGACACCCCTGTCCCCCCAGGCCTCGGCCAACCAGCGCGCAGGCCGCGCCGGCCGCGTGGCCCCCGGGAAGTGCTTCCGCCTGTACACGGCCTGGGCCTTCCAGCACGAGCTGGAGGAGACGCCCGTGCCCGAGATCCAGCGCTGCGACCTGGGGTCCCTCGTGCTGCTGCTCAAGAGCCTCGGTGGGGGCAAAAGGGGGGGGTAAAAAGGGGTCTGGGGGGGGTAAAAAGGGGTCTGGGGGCATCCCAGGGGAGTCAGGGGGGCATTGAGGTCCCAGGGGTGGCCCCTGGGGTGATCCCAGGGTGTTCCTGGTGGTCCCAGGGTGGTCCTCGTGCTCCAAGGGTGGTCCCAGGATGGTTCTGGTGGTCCTGGGGTGGTCCCAGGCTGGTCCTGGGGGTCCTGGTGATCCCAGGGTGATTCCAGGGTGGTCTTGGGGTGGTCCTGGGGTGGTTCTGGTGGTCCCAGGAATCAAGGGTGATTCCAGGGTGGTCCTGGTGGTCCCAGGGTGGTCCCAGCTGGTCCCGGGCTGGTCCTGGTGTTCCCGGGGTGGTCCCGGTGACGCCCCCGGTGCCCCCCAGGGATCAACGACCTGATTCACTTTGACTTCCTGGACCCCCCTCCCCACGAGACCCTGGTGCTGGCCCTGGAGCAGCTCTATGCCCTGGGGGCCCTCAACCACCTGGGAGAGCTCACCACGGTACTGGGGGCACTGGGACAAACTGGGAGGGGCACTGGGATGGAGTGGGAGAGACTGGGGGGCACTGGGAGGGGATCGGGGGGCTCTGGGAGGGACTGGGGGACACTGAGATGGGGGCTCTGAACCACCTGGGCGAGCTCAGCACGGTACTGGGGGCACTGGGACAAACTGGGAGGGACTGGGAGGGGGCACTAGGAGCACTGGGGGTGTCACTGGAAGGTGTCACTGGTGTGACTGGAGGTGACTGGTGTCCCCTGTCGCAGCTGGGGCGCCGCATGGCCGAGCTGCCCGTGGAGCCCATGTTGGCCAAGATGATCCTGGCGTCCGAGCAGTGAGTGACCCCTGCCCCCAAACGTCCCCAAATGGCCCCAAAGTGTCCCCAAAGTGCCTCCAGGTGTCCTCAGGGTGTCCCTGGGTTGTCCCTGGGTCTCCTTGTGGTGTCCCCAATGTCCCCAGGGTGTCCCCAGGTGTGGCTGCACTGAGGAGGTGCTCACGGTGTCCCCGAAGTGTCCCCAATGTCCCCACGTCCCTGATGTCCCCAGGGTGTCCCCGATGTTCCCAGGGTGTCCCTGA